TTTTGTCTGTTATAACAAGTCTAGGAATTGGATTTTAACCTAACCGATTGAGCTGAAATTGTGCACACTTTTGGTGCTAATTTATTCAAAATGGCCGCCGCTCCAAGATGGCCGGTTACCTTTTTCTTACAACCCCCTTGATATGGGACAAGTAGAAAACGATAAGGTATACTAAATCCAATATGGCGGCTGACACATTTCTTCACAACCTCCTTGACATGGGTATCAAATGAAAGGGTTTGAAGAGTAGAAAACCATTAAGATTAGTGACGTCAATCAAATTTCAATATGGCGGATGTAACTGACAGACTAATTAACTAAATTTTAAAACTAAAAAATGTGTTATTAAGTTTTTTACAACTAATCTGGAAAAAGGCGTAATTAACTAAAAAGTTGATCGTTTTTTTCAAAATGATGACTTCAGGATTGTAATTATACTTCATTTACCTTTCTCGTTATACGCTGCTTCTGCTTTGAAATTGATTTTCTATTTATTTTAACAGTGCATTTTGTCTTTATTGGTATTGGTATTGTTGTGAACGGGGTATTATTGACTTTTTGGTTATAGTCTATACTAAGTAAATTTGCATTTGGCAATAATTCTGTGGTAAGAAGCTAATTGTAATTATTTGTAATATAGTGGTTAGTCACTTTGTTGCCCATAAAGAAACAGTGGATAACCAGTGTTTGACTTTGGTGTTGGGGGCTAAAAAAACGAAAAACTATTTGACTAACCATACTAATTAGTTGCAATCAAAACAGAAATTTGCATGTAAATCACATACACACTTGAAAGCATAGAGCCGTAATTAGAGAATTCGACGTATTAAATCCACCACTCAACACTGTTCGCTCTATAAATCTTGGATTATTAGCGCCCTTTGAGCATACACCATTCAACCTTCCTTTTTTTAACACATATTTATTACATGTTTCAGCTTCTTTGACTGTCTGACAAAATTGGATTTTTTGCCAGTCTTATCAGGGATATCTTCAATAATAGTCAATTAAGTTTCTTGTCTGTTTCTATTTGCTTTTTATTGTCAAATTGGGACAAAAATTCGTTTAGAGGGCTTAGCAATGGGTTTCCATAAATTATCTTAACAGAGTTTTAATATTTTTCAATTTAACCCATGATAAAATTAAAAAATTGTATAAAGGCTGAAATTACACATTCCTTTTATGTTATATTCTTGAAATGTTCCTTTTAAAGAAATTACCATTTTGTTTGTAAAGATGTTTTAGAAATTTAATTAATATGTATAATGTTTAAAAGTTTATGACTTTGAGGATATTTGAGAAAAAGTCGGATAGCGAGTGAATAAATAAATGGCTTAAATACGGTTCTGCTTTTGTGTGGATAAGGGTTTTGCAAGGTAGGGGCTACGCCCAAACCTGGTGCTTGGTAAAAGGATCTTTCTAAACCGCGGTATTTCAAATCCTACAGGATGCTTCAGTTCTTTCTGGCTCATTTCCGATCAAACTATAAAAGAGTGTACAACTACGAATAGTTGCTCCATTATTGATTTTATTTTAAGCAAAGTTCACAGAAATCGTGTCCAAATCCTTTAAGGAGTTTTAAAGTATTATCTTTAATAATGTATTTTCACTGAGAGTATACAACGTTGACGTTTACTTTAAAACTTGAGAACTCTTTTCAAAATTTCAATTTTCCTTCTTTGATAAGATATTAATTATTAAAAACCTAACCCTTATTATCACGTAAACGAGAATTCGCTACGTGATGCAAATCTTAGTTTTACTACTAATTTTGAAACGTGCCTCTGTTTAACCTCTTTAACTCTATCACCTATCTGCTAGTCACCAAGTTAAAAGCAAAATAATCCCGTACAAAGAGTATACAGTGTTCCTTTGATCAACAGTTTAAGCCCTTTTTACCCTTTTACTTATAAACACATACAACTTTGCACTCCTTTCAAATTTTAAAACGATTTTCATAAATAACTTTAAACGAATTGAAATTACATACACATTTTTCCCATTTACTCTTACATAAACGCAAATACGTCACATACCGCAGAACTTCTTAACCAATGCATTTGTTTAAATATTGCTTTATCTCAAGATTGATTAATAAAGGCCCAACCGCACAACAACAAAACAATAATGTACAAGCACAGTAGGTATATGAAACTCAACGATTTAACACTGAACTATAAAAAAAACATGAATATTTTTATTTATATTTTTTGTGATTTTCACTGTGGTATTTGTGTGTTAATATAATAGTATATTAAAATTATTTTTACATGAATTTACAACACAATAATGTATTTTACGCTTGCATTTTTATCACAACTTTCCATTTTAACGCTAAGGCAAAGACTAAACAGAAATAAGAATCTATAAACACGCATATATCTAATTAACAAGCTTTGTTTACTAAAACATTCCACGCCCCGCCCAGTCTTTTACAACGGCTGATAAGCGAGCCGCACAGATCTCGGGACTGACTCTGCTGTCTTCCATATACTGTGGTACAAGCCCAACTTTGTGGGCCTCAATGTCTACAAAAATTCGCGTATTATCCCCGCCTTGCTTGCACCGTGCATCGGTGGGGAGCATGATGTTGTATCGGCAATGTGTGACGTATATGAAGCGCAAATTTCTGTAATTACTATTTCCCTATTATGCGGTCGGGCAATGATTTAAGCGTTTAGAATTAAAGTTGGAAGGGGTGCGCGCTAAATTAAAAGGAAATATTGTAAACTTCGATGTTTTGATACTTTTAATGACTGGAAATTAGTTTAAAAACGTTTGTATACAACATTTCAAATTATATTATAATTTTAGCATATGAGGCCCGGCCCCAGTTGCTTTATACGACGAGCCGCCACTGCTTTGCAGTGCTACGTCTATTTTTAGCGTTTAGTTTTCTTTGAATGCATTTTCTTATATATTTTTAGAACTCAACGTGATAAAAAAAGTTTCAGTCGTCCACACGCAACTTCTTATCGTTATATAATAAAAAAATTATATTTTTCTGGTTTAAATTAGGATTTAAAAACATGTAAATAAACGTGTCCTCTATTGAAAGCCCTTATCCCTCAAAAACAGAATCGGATAAAACCAATTTATCCATTCAATCATTGGCTTCATTCATGCTTTTGCCAATCCGCAATTAAACAATAAACAATTAAAAGATAAATAGGCCCTTAAAAGAAACATAAAAAAGCGTCGATACAACAAAACCACTAGATTTGATTAATGCGTGGCGTGTGGAATGCCCGGAAAAATAATTTCCTAAATATACCCCGGCAATCAATTGATTTAACAACATAATCCAAACCACAATCAACTATCATTTCGTGTAAATTATGTTTATTTTTTTTTAACTATAATAATTTCATTTCTTAATTTATTTTTATAATTTAAAACCAAAGTTTACCTAGATTAAGTTGAAAAATGCTTCGTAATGCCTATGAATAAAGTATTTACGTAATTTAACAAAAGGTTGGCGAAAAAAATAAGATTAATGGAAAATACGTGCAAAATGTCTAAAACAATATTGACAAAATGAGGTGGTAAATAAATTAAACTAGTAAATTTTATTAAAAAGTAAAATTGTTGGATTTTATAGAACACAACCTTGTTTAAATATCACTCAAGTTAATGTCAGACCATATATATAGTATATCCAACATTACATGAAAAAATAATGGAAATATTTTGAAATTTACTATAAATAAAACAACTTGATTTTCAAATTATTCGAATTGTCGCCATAAAACAGAAAATTACAATATTTAATAATAAATATTTGCATCTAAATTAACCACAAAAACAAATTTATTGTTTGTTTATTCATGTTATCAAATATTTCAAGCATTATTTGCAAAAAAAGAATTTGAAATTTACTTTTGCTATAGTAAAGGGTCAGTCAAAGGTAAAGGTTCAAAGGTCAGGGGGTCAAAGGTTAGGGATCAAATTATTCGAATTGTCGACATAAAACAGAAAACTACAAAAATTAATAATAAATATTTGCATTTAAATTAACCACAAAAAAAATTTATTGTAAATGTAATCAAATATTTTAAGCATTATTTGCAAAATAAAAAGGAATTAGTACTTTACTTTAGCTATAATAAAGGATCAGTCAAAGGTCAGAGGGTCAAAGGTCAGAGGTTAGAGGTCAAAGGTCAGGGGTCAAATTATTCGAGTTGTCGCCATGAAACAGAAAATTACAACATTTAATAATAAATATTTGAATCTAAATTAACCTCAAAAACAAATTTAGTGAAAATCAAATATTTAAAGCATTATTTGCCAAAGAAAAAGGAATTAGTACTTTACTTTAGTCAGTCAAAGGTAAAGGTTCAAAGATCAGAGGGTCAAAGGTTAGGGATTAAATTATTCAAATTGTCGACATAAAACATAAAATTAAAACATTTAATAATAAATATTTGCATCTAAATCAACCACAAAAACAAATTTTTTAAAAATGTAATTAAATATTTAAAGCCATATTTGCAAAATAAAAAGTGATTAGTACTTTACTTTAGCTAAAATAAAGGGTCAGTCAATGGTAAAGGTTCAAAGGTCAAAGGTGAGGGGGTCAAAGGTCAGAGCTAAAAAAAATAAAAAGTAGCCTCCGCCGTCAAAAAAATGTTATGACCGTGCAAATTTCATTAAAATTGGTTCAGTTTAGGCGTGAAAGAGGAACAAACAGAAAGACATTTGCATTTATAATACGGATATTTTGATTATTAGAATAAAGTGAATTGGTACGAAAATAATTGAAGATTTGTAATTCATAGAAAGCCGATAAATGAGAACGTTGAGAACTTTGATTGTCAATTGATTTGGAATTAAGATTTCCCTGAGCAATTAAAAGTATTCGTTTCAATTGGTTTAAGCAATCAGTAAGTGAATTTGAATTTTTAAATATTAATGTAATAAACTTGAGATTTGCGAGTCATTTAACATATGATGGTGTTTTGTCAACAGCATAAAATAAAGTTTTTGTCGGCGCCACTTACCGTTTTATTTCCCAAATTGCGAACTCGACAAGTGAGATAAGCCGATTTTCCGACGAGTGCTGTTACGTTTCGCGGAGTCGATGCATCAAAATACGGTCCAAATTTAATTTGCCCAGGTTCTGCACCCGCCTGCATCGGGGGTAATGTTTCACTTTCTGGCAAAGCGTTAAAATCGTTAGCACTGGAACTCAGCACGTTGGCTCTTACAACCACTGAACCTGAAACAACACAAAATGACAATTAGCACGCGCATGCTCACCGAATGCCTCCCTGCGGAACACCACTCATCTGTGGATGAGAATGAGAGATGTGGAATGAGAAATAATGAAAAAATAATATTGGGGGGGTAAAGGAATTGGGATTTAACAATAATATAAAGCCGAAAATATAAATGCTATCGATTGGAGACAAGAGTCTTCTTTTCTGCTGTTTCAACCCTCTACGCAAACTTTTAAAACTTCAGATGGGAACTTACCCCCAGTGGCACATCATTGAAAAAGCTTATTAAGAAAGAAATACAGTGGCGACAAAAAAAACTTCGCAAATAAATCTTGTTTTAGTGAGTTGCAATTTATCTGAACTGAATAATATAACTTTGTTTACTTCCTTCGATAGATTACAAAAATTAACATATTAAATACGACTCACATTCAAATCTTTACGTTTTTATTTCTGCACGTTAAAATTTAAAATCCTGTCAATTATAGTTGATTAAATTTTGTTAGATCTTTTAAGCATTTTTTCGCTTGCTTGAAAGGAGAAAATCATTTTCTTATTTTATTTGTTGTATAATTCAGGGAAACTGTTATGGTCTCTAGGAACCAAACCTGTTTAAGGAGGGTAAGAATTAAATGTTCCTTTCGTCTATTAGCCCTTTTTATACCGTTCGGCCATTTTTTCTTTCTCGAAACCCTAATTCAATGTCCATTCAAACGAAGGTAATTTATTCCATATTCTAATACATAAATTCACCACCATGTTAGCTAAGGCATTTTTCATGCAATTTTATAGCCTGTATACAATTTTTGACACCAAACGTAAATCCATCTTTTCTGAATTGATTCCATTAGAACATGTACAAATATTATTTTTTAAATATTACAATACATTCAAAAGTAAAAGTATTTTTGGCTGCTATATATAGCAGTCAAAAATACTTTTAAAATATTATATATAAGCATAAAGTATTTAGTGTCCTAGGCTCTATACTGAATAATGTGGAGTTTTAATCGATAATTGAAGTTATTGTCTTTGTTTTCAACTGTTGTCGATATTATTTATACGCTTTTTCATTTTCGAATTTTATCGCCAGAATATATCTGAATGACAATTTAGCATGGCTATTGTTGAAAATTGCAAAAATGACTGTGGATTTAATCGTTATATGCAGTTTGCATTTAAATTCCCAGGCAAATCTGGTGTTTTAAATAATAGTTGACTTTCAAGGATAATATCTCAAGAGTTGTGATAAAAATTGACAAAAATATAAAGTTATAACAATTTTTTAATTCCTTGTGAACTGTTGAAGCACAAAAAAATAGTAAAATTAGTTTTTAGGAAAAGATTTTTCGTTATATTAAAAAAAAAATCAGTTCGGACGTGTTTTCGAGGTTAACTGTTAATGGTAAAACTATCAAGTTTCTGGGCCCTAAGTTATTGGCCAACGGGGAAATCACCAATAAATAAACATAGTATTCATTAAAACACACATAAATTAACCGTTTGATGAAAATATAAATATTAGCACGCTACGCCTATGTAGTTAATTTTTGATTTATTAAAACATTGCTCTAATGAAAATCAGTAAAATTTTGATTGCAGTTAAACGCTTTGGAAATGTAATAAAATGAGTTTAACTTAATTTTCCGAATGCACGCGTTTTAAATTGTGATATATAAATCTATTTTAAAATTATCCGTCCATCTATGTATTTATTGTTACGATTGCCGTATTTAAATATTTACAGGTGTAAATATAATTAAAAAATGAAATATCACCGACAAGCTGATTTATAAATAGGCTTAAAATTGGGACATGTTACGATTGTATAAAACGGTACATGTGAAACAGAAATAGATAACATTATAAATTCCGTGGTAGTTGCAAACTTGTTCCCCAATGTTATTGATATGTATATAAAAGCTTTTTAATTTAATTAATTATCCACACTAATGTGCGACAAAATTACCACTTTTTCAAATAATACGGTGTAAATTGCAACTAGGAATATTCTTAGGATAAGGATTAAAACTATTATCTTAAAATTCTGTACGTTTATAAAGTTAAATGCATGTTTAGGGGATTTAAGAAGGCGTAAAAACTTTTAAACTCTTTTCGAAACAAGCTTAAATTTGTATAAAATCCAAGCTTACAGCTGGCACTGTTTGTTTTAATATATATATATTATTTTTTTTCACGACTATTTTTATTTTTTCGCTCCCAACTCAAAATCTTGTTGAAAATGTTCAAAAAAAAATCCCTGAAAATTTGAGCCCTTAATATTAACTCAAAGTACTCTACCAAAGCGTATAAAGATTTCCCATTTAAAATACACGTAAACTTTGATTTTTTTTTTTTAATATCTATATCACAGCCGCATTTTATGCTATTAAATTGTTTCAAAAAATGATTTAATCGTGATCAAAAATGCTTTAATCTGCACCTGTAGGATGGTACGGGTCACTAAATCTTATTTTAGTGAAAAATTCTTATATTTTTGAAGATATTTCGAAACTGACTGGGTTCTTTGAAAAAATGTAAAGGGCAAACTTGTAGAATTTTCTTTAAAAAAGGTCTTATCACTTGAATTGCTAAGATTGATTTTTGTTGAGATATAAAGCGTTAACATTGACAACTTATGAATTTTTTTGGATTTTCGTACCAAACTTTTTATAAATAATGATTTTCAATTGTTTATCAGTACAATTTCATCTAATTACGTTTTTTCTACAGTCGGGTGATCAGAGAAAAATAAATAACTCAAACAATCAAGCATAATTATTAATAACATAACTTTAAAGAGAAAATATATATCTAACCTAAAAATTTATATAACGAGGTTTAATACCGTGTATTACATACAACCTGTTATTTTATTAATAATTATGCTTGATTGTTTTAGTTTTAATTTTTTTATGTTCTTCGTCACAGATTTTAAATATTTTTTCTACTCCCACCTTTAAAACATTCCATGACACTAAGTGACTTTTTAAATACACATTGACAAGTTGTGGCTTTAGGGCGCTTTAGTCACGGGATGAAGTTAGTTTTAAGTTAGTTGACAGTTGTCAAATGTCATACAACCGTTAAAATAAAGTGCCTTTCTTGTAAAATAATACTAAATGTGAAAATTATTTTATTATCTCAATACAATATTAAAGTATTAAATAGTGTCTCAACGCCGATATTTGAAAAGTTTATATAAACATTGTACTGTACCTTTTAATTTCGACGGCAGTAAACTATAACTTAAATTCGGGCACGGACTCCATTGTAAAGTGCTCAAAAAACATTTTCTTTAATTTCACTGTGAAAAACTTTCAATTTTCAAGAAATACATTTCAATTTATAACCTTCATAATTGTGTTTATAAAATGTAAAAATTTGAGATTTGACGGTGACACACAGATTCCCCTATTGTTTCATAGATGGCGCTCTATACAAATTTTTGATTTAAATCATTTTAAGATAATAATAAGTATTTGTGGTAGAAAAAGTATAGTATACATATATGCACCTCGTTTATAAACTTTTCTATACACTTATTCGTGTATAAAATGGCGTTTATCAAACTTGATATACTATTATGTGTATATTTAATAATACATTTTAAAAATGTACAAATCTTTACTGTCATTTAAAATTTGCTATGTTACCAAATTGGTTTAAACTTAAATCAGTGGATATGCGTAAATCAGAGATAGATTTTTATAAAAAATTTAAAATTATTATTATTATAAAATTTGAAGTTACACACTGTGTGTATATATACACTCACCGGCATGAAAAACGGAGCAGTTGAATTTTTTTAAACAAACTTATAATTTTAACGCTTGGTGATATATTATTATTATTATATCTTAAGTACAAATAAAATAACAGGTTTTAAGAAATTTCTAAATACAATTGAACATTTATTTTAAAAAATAAAATGTTTTTAAATAAAAATTTAAATCAATTAAATATTGCATAGATGCTATTACTTAAAAGAGCATAGTTGGCGATGAACCCATGAAATTTTATAAGTCAAAAGAAGTGTCAAACATATTTTTAATTTGTGCTGCGTTTATTTTATTTAAAAAAATATGACCGTTAATCCCGAAACAGCGGCTGCTATTGTTACGTTGATTCAAGACGGAAGAAGTGAGAGATATGTTGCCCAACAATATCACACATCCAATAGCACTGTTCACCGTATTTATACACGTTTTTTGGAAACGGGAGCTTACACCAGACGACCTGGAACTGGTCCCCAACGAAGAAGTAACGCTCAGGATGAACGCTTTATTATCTTACAAAGTCTGCGAAATCGTCGTGCTACAGCTGTAGAAATCAGAAATCGACTGCATCACGTTCGGAATACCAACATAAGTGAACGAACAGTTGGACGAAGACTTGGAGAAGCAAATCTTACTAATCGTAGACCTGCAACGGGTCCAGAGCTTCTTAGGCGTCATCGCGTTGCGCGACTACAATTTGCTAGAAATCATGAGCATTGGGCTGAAAATGAATGGGCGCGTATTTTGTTTACGGACGAGTCAAGGTTTAGCCTACGGTCTCCAGATGGTCGTGAGAGAGTATGGCGAAGACCACACGAGCGTTTTTCCGAATGTACGTTTAGTCCTAGGGTAGGATACCAAGGTGGCTCAGTTATGGTGTGGGCTGGAATTTCTTTGGAGGCACGCACAGAATTGTACATCGTTCCTCGAGGGTCCTTAACTGCTGCCCGGTACATTGAGGAAATTTCACAAGATTTTGTTGTTGCTTATGTCGGTTTTATTGGAGATGACTTTCTTTTCATGCATGATAATGCCCCACCTCACACCGGGAGAATCACTCAACGGTACTTAAACGATGCATCGTGATGTAAACATTCCTTTTATGGAGTGGCCATCGTTAAGTCCATATGCGAACCCAAGTGAACATGTTTGGGACATGCTTGGGCGAAGAATAAGAAATCGTGTTCCTGCTCCTTTACCTTTAAATCAGTTGGAACAAG